GACTAGTATTATCTGAACAAAAATATGTCAGGTGAAGCTTAGGGAGCAATAAGAATCAAAGTTGCATGAGATTTTACACTGAAATAAGGTTTCCAATTAAAGAACTACTATACTAGTTGTCCGTCACAGAGCAATTCTATTTTAAAGACCAAACATTGCATAAGTGTGGATGCAACACTAATGATATTGTGCTCAGTTAACTTAATAACATTGAATGTATGCAAAGAATAGCAACAAAAACATTGCGTGTGTTGTGTATAATGTGAATTTGAAAGCATGCTTAGATCGTAAACTGGAAGGTTTTCAACATGGAAGGATAAGCTTATGAGGCCAAATTACGCTGTGCTGCTGCCATGACGATCCAAAGCAGGATGTCTGTCTAGCGTAGAGTTGTGCATTACTTCCCAGCTTCCTATGAAGGAAAAGAAAATATCCTCTATCATGTAGATAAGCCCAATTTTTTAAAGCAGTACTTTGTGCTTATAATTAGCTAGATGAGAATAATGTTATAAATAAGATAATTATCATCTCATTTTTGTCTTATATTCTTTAAAAGGAACATGACGTTACAAGGTTTACAGGATCTCTAGGAGCCTATCCCACAACCAGTGGGAATCTTGTATCACTGGATAAGAGAAATGGAGTTTTAGTAGTTTCTTCCTACTCTTGCTTCCAGCTTTAATCACAGTCCTTTCCTCACTTTTTCGTATCATCAAAATTAGCAGTTGTACATATTTTTAATATAAAAAAGTCAGGTTTTTTTTCTAGATTAATGTTAATCAGTTAAATGAGATTTTTTAGAACATAATATGTAAGTTTTTATACAGGTATATACAATCCCTGAGTTTCAGAATTCCAGTGCGAGACAGTGACAGCAGATGCTCAGAAAATGGCAGCAGAGTTTGATAGTCTGTTAGAGATTCAAATCAAGGCATTTACCTGTTTCCTTCCTGTTCTTTCTCCTTTAATATTGTCACTTTGTCATTGTCTTAATATTTACTCAGTTTGCACATCCTAGCCCGTTTCTCCCTGTGCTTACTTCCCTATCACCTGCCTCTCTCCCTTCTTCCTGCCTTTAAAAAAGTCTTTGCGCTGTTCTGCTCTGTTCTGCTCTTTAACAGCCTCAACTGCCGCTTTCAACTTGCAAGGAACCTTCTGGCATTAGGGTTCTTTTCCCTCCTGTTAAAGAGATACCAGCCCAGCTGCAGGGAGCCAGAGGCAGAGAAAGCTTAATTTTTATGCTGCAAAGATAAAAACTGATTTGAACTACAGAGAGGGAAAATTTTTGTCTGATGGAAGGGATATTAAAAGGTAATTTGCAGCTCCTTATAAGTGTTGCTTTGTTAAAACATGGACCAAGCATATGGTTGAGTTGAAAATGATTTACTTCCATTAAGCCAGGCTAATAACTGTTATTTTCCATGTGCTTCTTCAACTTTTTCATTCAATTAAATTATACTAAAGAAACACATTTTTCTCTGTCACTAGCAGTTCACTTTAAAAGGCTGATCTAGCAGCATGCAGATTAACCGACACACACAAAAAAATCATACTCCAAGCAGTAGGACGTTACGTTCAACAAAACTAAGTTAAGTTCAAATGAGAAATTCTTTTTCAGTTCTCTACAACTGAATTGTCATCAGTGTGTTAATTGTGCTGATCAGCTCTACTGATTCCATTTCTTTAATTTCCCATGAATATTACTTGTCTTTCAGAAGCAACTCTGAATCACTGTAACTTTTGTGGTATGCATGTGCTTTGAAAACCATTTGTGGGTAGGCATGATAAGCAAGAAGTTCCACCTTCTTTTAGCTCCAAGTTGCTAAAATTTCTTTCTGTTTCCTTTTCCCCCATTTTATGGAGCTCTCTTTCACTTCTGAATACAAGATGAAATTTAAGCCCAGTTGTTCTTGTGAAGTGTGTTAGCAGTTTCTCCTAAAATACAATTTACCATTACCATGAAAGAATGCCACACACAGCTTCAGAAATTTCTGCAAGGTCTCACACTTGTTACTATGCTCAGGAGTGTGCTGCCAACAATTCCTGGCATGAGTTCTGTGTGCCTGTATAACCAACTGGCAGCTTTTAATTGAGCTGATGTGCAAAACCAGAGACTTTTCTATGAAGAAAGAATAACCGAAGATATTTAATGTAAAGTTTACATTTAAAAACTTCTTAATTTCCACTGCAACCTTACTGTGAGTAGAACTACATGATATTAAAACAAAGGAACTTTTAAATGCAGTTCAGTTATATCCCAATATCCTTCGAAATTGCTTTACATAAACTTCCCAGTCATGAGGGGCTGATGTTGCATGCCAGGATGGTAGGAATCACTCGTGCGAAGGGATTGAGGGAAATAATCGAATGAGATGCATTTTATGCAGGTCAGCCTGTGTGCAGGCAATGGACCTTGCCTTCTGGCAGCTTACTGTGCTCACAGCTCCCGTTGCCTGCAGCTCTCTCTGACTGCTGCTTGCTAGGCTCCCTGGCACCAGCCAGGAGCACTTGCCAAGAGGGCACAGGAGCTATGGGAATAAGCTAGGAGCGTTGCACCATGGGGAATGCCGGGGCATTAGGAGGAACAGGGATGAACAGGTAGAACACGTGCAATAGTCTTGCATCTTGTGGCATAAGGGCACATATCATCAGAAATTATGCTGCATTCATTTTTCAGATTATCTCTGGAATCTTTATCTCTTTAACAACTTGAAGGATCATGGAGAAAAAAAGCTGAATTTTGATACTACTATTTCAGTTCTGACTTTTCATTTTGGAATTTGCACGTAGAGTATCTTATATTTATTTCAAAATACTGAAAAATATTTATAGTAAAAATCATGAAAATATGATGTAAAAGTACTTCAAGCACTTACTCTATTAAAAGTTTTTTTTTTTCCATTGGGCATAATTCTTGAGGCAAATGCTTTTATATAGAGTAATGCTACAGTAATTTCTTTGTGCAATTAGTTTAAAGGTTAGGTCAACTTAGGTTAATTTAGACAGTTCCTCTGTGCAGTTTCAAGCGACAGTATTAATATAAGCAAAAATGTCTTCATTTATTTAAAAGTCAGTCTGGTGCTTGTGAAAATTTACAGCAAGAAATGTGAGAGTAAAATTTTTATTTATTATGTCTTGCTCTTCAGCGCAAAAATCACTGTAAGCCCTATCATTTGGAACACTGCATGGAATGAGCTAGATATATCATGTAAGGGAAATAAAAAATGCTAGTTACAGTCTATCCATATGTTTAAGGATGATGTAATCATGTCTAGTAGGGAGAGGACAGAGAAGCTCAATCCATGGCAGTTAAGTGGTGACTCGATCATGGAAGGTATTTTCTCATGTCTTTTTTGGATAAAGATCCCACAAAAGCCAGACTCTGATATTACAAGTAGAGTACAAATTTTAACAACTATTGAAAAGCTTTGCTGTAGAGGTGATAGCTTCTCTGTAACGGTAAATCCTTAAACTAAGGCTGAATGTCTCTGTGGGAAATACATTGCAGCTCAGGTAGTGTGGACTCACAACAGAAGTTGCTGGTGAGATTCAGGGGAGCTCAGATCAGGAGGTGGTTGTCCCTTCTTAGCGGAAATCCTTCAAATCAAGGGGCAGACTTCTCCTAACACCTTCCTGCCTCAGTGGTTTCTCCACAAATCGAGGGATGGTCAGCTAGCCAAGAAAGAGGTTCAGAAAGGCAGTAGCATATGCATAATAAAAGATATTGCTGGAGTCATTCAGGAGAAACTGAAAGGCATTTGAAGGGCACTTGCTGAGATTTTTTGGTACAGCTCCAGAATGAGATAAGAAACCGCCTCTAATGACCACAGGGATAGTTGTCTCCAATGGAGAGGGAAAATTGTAGCCTGGAGAATAAGCATGATGAGACTTTGTGGTGAAAAACCTGCAAAAATTAATAAGTATGATTAGCAAATGTTTAACCTTTCAGTTTGGCTTGTGTTTATATGCCAAACTAATATAATTATAGAAGTTTAAACATTTAGAGTGTTGTTCGTGTTTTTAGCAGATAATTACATTTAGCTCCAGAAAGTTCAAAAAATATTTCCTGTAGTCTTGTGTAACATGGCCTTTTGTGTTAATATTTTATAAATGTCATGTTGAATGGTACAGTAAATTCCAGATTCTTCTGGAGGTATCTGAGGTGGCTGCTTTGGAAAGAAGATACATTTCTCAGTGGTAATAATTTTCTTGCATTTAAATGTATTTTTAGTATTTCCACATACCCTGTTACCATGGCATTTCGAAGTAGGCCAAAGGACTGTGAAGGCATTAATAAACTGCATGAGCAAGCAAGTTTGTGGTGGCTGCGCCATGCGTGGCAAGCTTGCTCTTCAGCTCCTTGTTGCACGTGAGCCCTCACCTCTGTGCGGGATCACCTTTGCTCTGCGTTCCACGCAGCTGGGCCACCAGCTGCCCTTTTGCAACGTTTGCTGTGTGTTGCAACGCTGATCTTGCACCTTTTTCCCTCTGCTGCCAAGTGGGGAAGGGCAGCGGTGGTGCCTCCATCTTCCCCAGTGCCCGGGATGGTGGTGGACTTGGACCCTGCTCAGCCCAGGGACTGGGGCCGCCCAGGGCACTTTGCAGAGCTGAAGATACTATATGCTTGGGAAAAATACATACATAAAAAAAAGGGTCTTGAAAAGCTGTGAGCACAGGCACAGAGGTGTCTTTTGCTTAAGGATCTAAGGAAAATGCATAAAAAATGTATAAATAAATTTAAAAAGGAACAGGGTTTAAATTATTTAAATAATTTTGTTACAAACTCTCATGTGTCAGAGTTTGTATTCACAGTACCTTCATTTACTCGTTAAAAAAAGGCGATTACTAAATAACTAGACACACAAACAACCCCTAAGAAGGGCCTTCCTTTCTCCCCTTCCCTGGGGAAGCCCAGGCGCTGCCTGCCCCCTGGCGCCCGCGGGCGGCGCAGGCTCCGCGCGGAGCGGCGCGGCGCGGCGTGT